ACACATGTACAAGATACACATTTCAAGAGACTTGGTGATCCCACAAAAGCAAACTTAAAGAGAGAATCAACCCTAATGTGTGATCTTGTTGTACTGGTAAAAGTGAGACGATGAGAAATCTTAGGGGCAAAAATTGGGGTGTAACAGTATCGCATCGTACCTGAACTAATTTTGTTTGTATGATGCCATGTCATTTGAGTAGCACTATGAATTGAAGCAAACATTCTTTACAACCTTGGTATTATTGGTAGATAAAACATATATTTCACTGCTACACGTTTTTGCTTACGATCAATGGCTTTACCGCGAACTAGATACCTTGGTTTGTTACAAAATTTATTCCAACGCTCCATAATTTGTACCAAATTCATCTTCATATAACAACATGAAACCTCTAATGCAACAATCAATCTTTCTTACTTCTAAACCCAACTTCGACACCAACCTCTTTGCATCATAAAAACTTGTAGGCAAATTGTCTTTCATAGGAGTGGCGTCCAACATTATTGGACTAAATAATTCCAAACACTGATCTCGAACGTTCCAATTTGACTTTGTGGCCAACAATCTCACACAATTTGATAATTTAGAGTCAGACGAACCTTCAAACAATGGTGCATTCATTTCTTTCAACAACTGATAAAAATTTCGCGCTTTCTCACTCGACAACTCTTCTCCATCAAAATCTTGTTGTTTATCATATGTCACATTCACCACGAGAGCATCACCAACCATATCCTCAATTGGATTAAATTGTTTTTCATATTCCATATGTGATCGACTGCTTGAACCATGTTGTGTATTAGTAGTCTCTGGTACATTATTTGGTAGTTCTTCTCCATTTGATGTCCAAACCCAATAATCTTTCCTAAAACCCATTCTCTTCAAATGATTTTCTACTTCTTCTGGATCACTAATTATACGTCTACATCACTACAACAAATAAAGCATTTCATGACGGTGCTTTCATGTCATCCAGAAAAACAACGAGATAGCACGCCATATTTTATATTTTTTAATTATAAAAATAATAATTTACCTTGGTTTCTAATATATCTGATGGGTAAAAATAAAACGGACACGCTTCGAGTTCAAACTTTTGCAGTTTATGTTTTATTTTAATTATAATTGTAAACTAAAACACTTCAGTTTTTCGATATAATTGAGGGATCAACTAAACAGATTTCACTATAAAAGTAAAAATATTTTACCCTAATCCTTACTTATTTGTAGCCGCCCCAAATTCGCAAGCATCATTCTTTGGGATGGATTGCAAGATAAAAAAAAAAAACCTTCAAGGTTCTTATAGAACAAAATATTTTTTCTGCCCTTGCAATCTATCTCACATAATGGTGTTGATTTTGTTGTTGGTGTTGTTGGTGTTATATTTTTGCTCATTAGATAGATTGCAAGTGCAAAAAAATCATTTTTATTCAAGGAGACAATGAAGGAAGCTTCATTCTCTTTTTAAAAGTTATATAATGAAGGGAGCATAACTAATCGGATGATGGATATCAGCAAAGATATTCATTCAAACGAGCAAAGATTTGTTTTAAACAATTTATTTTAATATTTTGTGTAAACAATGTAAATTCTATAAAAAAAACTTTTCACCTCGATTTAAAAAAAAAGAAGTGATAGCTATAATCAGAAGATTTAATACCTCGATTTTATTCTAATGCCGAGGGGTAAAGTTGTCATTTTTTGCTATAAATACCTTTTTTAAGACAAATTTTACCCTAATTATAGCTATAATCATTGTCCATTGCCATGAAAACTTTTGATCTAGAATCGCTTAAGAACAAATCTCTGAGATGGATTGCAAGTGTAGAAAATAAAATAACTTATTCGAAGTTGGATAATTTATGGAGTGTTTTTTGGATATGCAACATAAAGGTATGCAACAAAATTTGGATTCCACCAAAGATCTGTTGTTGAAAATATTTTCTCCTTTGATTTTTTCTACTTGCCGATAGATTTCAGGTACGCTACCAAATTCCTTCTCTAGAATATTTAGTGTTCATACCCTTCTCTAAAGATAATGATGATTGATGATTGTGTGTTATTTACTATTAATTTGCAGAATTGGGTTGAATAAAGGATATGCTTTTGTTAATTTCATTAAGTCTAAATCATAAGTGGGAATTTGTTGTAATATTCTTTGTAAACAATTTAACTCCAAAAAGATATATCTTGTACCTCGGTGTTCCTAAAAATCGAGAGGACATTTTAGCGTTAAAGTTGAGGATATTTATCACCGTCCTTAATCAAATCTTTTTCGTCTATTTCATGACTATCAACGGTCAAGACACTATCATTAGTGATCTGCGTAAAACTAAGTTAACTTCCATTATAAAAGTATTCTAAGTATCCAAATTTGATAATGAAACATCATGAAGCACTTGAAACTATCCCCACTTTAAGATATGCAAGAGTCTTTGTCATGAAGAGTTCTCTATGATGGATTGCAAGAATAGAAAATTATTTGGGTTTAAGATTTGTGTACTTAAATATTTATTTAAGAAGAAAATTATTTATTTATCAAATCCTTTTTATCTAACCCTTTTTTGTTGATATCAGAGACAAATGCAAGGAAAAACATAGAAAATATATTGTTTCTCAATATATGGTCTTTTCAGGATATGGATTTGAAAATCCAACATATGATCTTCATGGACAATTTAATTTTTATTTTGATATCTTGTGTAAACAATGTAATCAGTTTAATATTTTGGGTAAACATTGTATTTTATAAACCAATTATTTTATTAATTTTTTGTGTAAGCAATGTAACCAGTTTAAATTTAAAAATACAAATAATTTCCCTCGATTTTATTGATAACCCGAAATACATGAGACGTTATTATTATAAATAATAAAAATATAATTGGTGAGATTCTAACCCATGCACAATTACAATATCCCTCGGTATTTTAAACACCGAGGTGGTAAGTCCATACTTTTTATGACGATCTTATTTACGTTGCTAGTGTAACTGAGGTAAAATGCATTGCGCGTCCGACTTTACAGGGAATTTTTGTAGTAGTGCATCTACATTTAAGACACTGAAATTTTACTCTTCCTTCTCTTCGAGAACATTCTCGAGCAATTGCAAATACAATAAACCCTTTAACTCTTTCCATAAAATATGATTTGAGTTTACGTCCTCCAAAATACATTTGATCGTACATCCAACTACGATAATTCTTATATTTCCATACTAGACGTTTATATCATTGTTGTCATTATAATCGTCAAAAAGTTTTAATCCATTGACCAATTCAAAAAATTTAGTCAATTATATCAAATAATTAGCATATTATAATCACTAACTAACAAATTACAAATATTATATAGAGTATTCATGATTATTTAACATAAATTTAATGCTAGTACTATAACTACATACTTTATATATATTAACTACATACAACCTAGTTGTTTTATGCTAAAAATACTAAATTTATTTAATTGATTTCGCTTAAATATTTATTTATTAAATTAGTTTTTTAAATCAATTATAGTTAATAAAAATATACATAAAAAAGAAAAAATAATATTTTATTTTTATTTATTTTATTTTTCAAATCTTTTCTTATTCCTTTCTTAACAAATGAAATATATCATTACATTTTTTTACCTCTTTTTATAAGTTATAATTTATAAATAATATAATACTTTTTATATTTATGTTTAACATCATATAACAAATAAAGTAAAATATAATATATATATTTTAATTCTACTAAAAAAATATCAATATAAAATATAAAATATAAATAAAATCATAAATTAAAATTATGTTTTTAAAGTATAAAATTAAAATTATATCATCTTAAATTCTGTTTTTAAAATAAAATATTAAATTATATTAAATTATACTTTTGAAGAAATTATCAAATAATAATAAATCATGTTTTACTTAAATAAAATATAAAGTCTATTTTATATTTATGTTTAACGTCATATAACATTTTAAATAAAATATGACAAATTTTTCTGTATTTAATTTTTTTTATTATGTTCTATACATAAATATATTTAAAATCAAGTTCTTAACTTTATATATATTTATTCAGTTTATATAACTTTAGTGTGTGTATATATATATATATATATATATATATATATATATATACACACACTAAAGTTATATAAACTGAATAAATATATATAAAGTTAAGAACTTGATTTTAAATATATTTATGTATAGAACATAATAAAAAAATTAAATACAGAAAAATTTGTCATATTTTATTTATATATATATATATATATATATATATATATATATATATATATATATATATATATATATATATATATATATATATATATATATATATATATATATATATATATATATATATATATATATATATATATATATATATATATATATATATATATATATATATATATATATATATATATATATATATATATATATATATATATATATATATATATATATATATATATATATATATATATATATATATATATATATATATATATATATATATATATATATATATATATATATATATATATATATATTTGTTGCACTCTCCAACACTTATAGGTCTAATGGCCAACACATATTCGAACGAAAACTGGAAGAAAAAGAAACCGCAGTAACTCGAGGTCGAACAAGTAAAATGTTGATCCATGTGTTTCAATAGCATCACTGTACAAGAAATATCCAAGAGGCTGATTTAGAGGTTTGACAAATATCTTAATTCATTGAGACAAGACAAGTACATGAGAGAGACCATGTTTTTTTCTATAAATGGCTAGAACCTACAACATGTCCTTAAAATTGTGTCAAACAAACAATTCAATCATGACACTCAATTGGTATCTTGTTTATAAATTCCTTCCCTCCTCCACTCATCCATTCCTCTTGATATCTTGTTCATCTCTCTTCTCTGCCCTTTTTTGGTAATGTGCAATTATTAGTACTACATTTAGAATAGTGTATATTTTATCCAAAGATCATGCAGAGCTTCAAGCTGAGTTCGAGCAAGATCCTAAGGAAGATATTAAGCGGGAATTCATCAGAAACTTCTAGTTCGAATCAAGCATCATCTGAAAATTCAACAAGACAATTCTATCATCAAACCAAAAAGTATACATTCTTTTGAACAACTATTTATGTAGCTTTTGTGTCATATATTTTTTAGTACTATATGAAAGAAAGAAACTCTGATATGAAAAAATATGCTGAGTTAGGATCTTTGTTGGTTCCTGGAACATTGGAGGCATTGCACCACCTCAGAATTTGAACATTGAAGATTGGCTTGACACACATAATGATTATGCAGATATTTATGTTCTAGGGTAAAATTTTCTTCTTTTACTTCAAACTATTTGTAAGAATCAACTTCCTAGACTCTAAATCAAGATGAGACTATCTATATTTCAAGCTTGGTATTTTAGAATTTTAAAAAAAAAAAGTTTATATTTTGCATCATCTAATCTCAATTCTACAATCACCAATACGCTGAATGCGTGAATTTATTATTACAAAAAACCTAAATCGGTTGACTTGTTTAATAGTTTTTTATGTGATAAACTTGTAGCAGGTTCCAAGAAATTGTACCTCTAAATGCAGCAAATGTATTAGGTCCACAGAACAAGAAAAATTCTATGAAGTGGAATTCTCTTATTGGAGCAACCCTTAACAATAAAAAACCAATAGAGATAGTTGAAGAAGAGATAAGGGCAGAACCTCAAAAGATATATCCTTTGAAGGAACAAGTTGGTGAAGAGTTTGAAAATGTTGATGATTTCCAATGCATCATAAGTAAGCAAATGGTGGGTATGTTCATTACTATTTGGGCAAGATGTGACCTTTATCGATTTATCCAGCACTTGAATGTCTCATCTGTTGGCTGTGGGATTATGGGTTGCTTGGCAAACAAGGTTAGTTTAGAAACCGACCGAGACAGTTAAATAGGTTGAACTGAACCTTAAATCAATACTATCTATAGTTCGGTCATTTGAACAGTTTAATCGCAGTTTCATTTTAGTTCAATCAAATTTAAAAAAGTTGAAGTATGATTCAGAAGTCTTCCCAATTTGATATCTGATTCGATTTTGGAATGAATTTTTAAATATTTTATTGATTTAAAAATGCAGGGATCAATATCAATTAGATTTGTGTTGCATGAAACAAGCTTTTGCTTTATATGTAGTCATCTAGCTTCTGGTGGGAAAGAAGAAGACAAGAGACAAAGAAATGTTAATGCAAATGATATCTTGTCCCAAACAAGCTTCCCTGCAGGTCCTATGCATGATATGCCTCAAAACATTATTGACCATGAGTAAGTTATATGTTTTACGATTTTGAATTGCATACAAAAATCTCTAGAAAACAGTAACTGACCATGAAGGTGGTCAGTTACCGTTTTCTTACAAGTTACTATAGAATTTCAACAAAATTACGAGAATTTCATTGAAATGTGTACTTGGAAACATGCAGTCGAGTTGTGTGGCTAGGAGACTTGAACTACAGAATAGATATGCCACACTTTGCAACACATTCATTGATCAATAGAAGAGAATGGGAAACCTTGTTGGAACATGATCAGGTAAGATTTATAATTTTGTTCTAGCATATCAAAAACATAAGATACTATTTTCTTCCTAAAACCCGCAATTTATTTTCTTTAAAAAAATTATTTAGAGGGACTAAACTGCAATTATATATTAGTATTTCATTTAGTTACCACAATTTTTGAGTTCAAGATTTAAAACTGTTCAAATTATATAGCTTAAGATGGAGCTTAAAGAGGGTCATGTATTCCAAGGTTGGCATGAAGGAGCTATAGAGTTTCCACCTACATACAAATACCTTCCAAATTCAGATGATTACATAGGTTGTGATGAGAATCACATTATCAAAAAGAAACGTTCCCCAGCATGGTAATATTTACTACCCTTCACCATGAAACCAAATACAGACATGATGACTAAACTCCGAATTCAAATGCTTTTATTTTGAAAATGGTATTACTCTAACAAGAAGAAAATAATGCAGGTGTGATAGAATAATATGGTTTGGAAAGGGCATGAATCAAATCGAATACAACAGGAGTGAGTCAAATGTTTCCGATCATAGGCCAGTAAGAGCAGTGTTCACGGCGGACATCAAGGTTGCAGAAACAAATTGTAAATGATTCAAAATTTTGCAAAGGCATTTCATCCAAGAGATTTCAGCTTTAATTGCATACCTTTCTTTGAAAGAGGTTTTAGGATCTCCTAGAAAGGAGCATATGGTAGCTTAAATCTTTGAGAGATGTGTTCTGTTTTGTCATATTTTTGTATTTAGAGAACACTCTTGGTGTAAGTCCTAGAGGCCAATGTTTTTGGTACTTGTATTGAATTATTTATTAATAATAAAAGGCATTTCTTTAGGGAATTTCTTTTCCGACCTAGTGGTGTTCTTCTAGGCCTCTTGTGAAAAATTCAAAATACCCCCAGACTTCGCAAGTGCACATGCGAAAGTACTGTATTGTACAATAACAGGTGACTTCGCATGTGCATCTACGAATTAACCCATAATTTGTCAAAAACAGAGTGACTTCGCATGTGCATCTACGAATTAACCCATAATTTGTCAAAAACAGGGTGTCTTCGCATGTGCATTTGCGAAATAACCCATAATTCCTCATTTCGCAAGTGCACTTGGGAAGTCTGTGAATTGTTTTAACAAAACGAACAGAACAGACCCCCAACCCATTTTCTATCAAAACATCAAAGCTTCTCACTTTTTACTCCAAACTCATTCATTTTTGCTCATCTCTCCATTTCAACTCATTTCAAGTCATCCCAAATCATCTCCAAGCTTTCAAATTTGTGTAAGTTTTCTCCAATTTATTTTGATTCACAATGAAATCTTGTAATAGTTTATCAGGTTAGTTTGTAACAATTACATTTTGTATGTTGGTGTTACAATAGGTAAATGTAGTTGTTTGGGTGACAGAAAATTGAGATTTGGGTGTTTTAGGGGAAGAAGCAGCTGCTTTGAAAATGGTTGTGCGCAGGGAGTTCCTCAAGTGCACTTGCGAAGTCACCCTGGACCAGTTTCGCAAGTGCACTTGGGAGTTCTTGCCTGAGTTTTATTTTTAAAACCTAACAATTATAATTATTTATTTCAGGAACATGGCTGACAATCAGGACCTAAGCAGGCGGTTAAGACAAGGCAGACCAACTCAGACTGCCTCGACTCGTCGAGAGAGAACCGAGCAGTAGGTTAACCGGCCTCGAGGACGTGGTTGGATACAAAGGGAACAATTGGATGTAGCTTCTCCTTCTGCACCGAGGAGTCGTCTGCATCAGACGTCTACCTCTCGCATGAGCAGGTACCTGATGAGCTGGAGGTGGCAGAAGAGTTTGGGTACCTGAGAGGGATGAGGTACCCGAGCATGCTCTGGTACTTGAGCAGGCAGAGCAGGGCTATCTGGGAGGGCCATTTGACACGTCCATCTTGATTTACTATCATGATCATACCGCTTGCCATGTCTTGGAACGAGAGGTATATTTTTGGTTGCACTTTTTCATTTTATATATTTTACTCAAAAATACGATTGTAACATTTTTTTTGTTTCAGGAACGATTTCCCCACCTAACTATCAGAGATAGGTTACTTAACCATCACAAGATATAACGAGCTGAGGCGATTGAGTGGATGGTTAAGTATCTGAGAGCTAATCCAGATAGGACGTATGAGGACTGCAGAGCCACTAATGTGGCGCATATAAAGTTCTCCCATCTGAAGGATTTGTATGAGGAGCACCTGGTTGCAGCATCAAGTGCCCAGGAAGAAGAGGACGATGTTTTCATTCAGTATCACCGAGACTGTGCTCTGCAGTGTTACTTTATGTTCTTGATCGGCACGTCCGTCTTTGTGGACAAAAGTGATACCTATACCGATGTGACCTACCTACGGTATTTTATGCACCTGACTATAATTCGTGAGTGGAACTGGGGGGCGCTGTTATGGTATACCTCTACCAAAAGTTGAATGAAGCTTCAAATTGGAGGATGAGGGCGCTCACTGGCTCATGCACACTCCTCACGGTACCTTTCATTTCAACTATTAACTTAAATTTGTTTAGATTAATTTGTACTTACATATTATGTTATTGTTTTCGCAGAGCTGAATAATATCTCATTTTCACTGCATTCATGGTTTCGAACCAGATGAGGAATATACTGACAACATGCCAAGGGTTGTCAAGTATATTCTCCACAGAGGGAACCATAAAGTGGCGTCGTACCGGGTGTATCTTGATCGCACCAACCATGATGACATCAACTGGACGCCGTTTGAGGATTACAGGGAGGCTGTGGCATTCGATCCCATCTTTTTATACTCTAGGTGGCTAGCATGTGGGTCGAATATTATGGTCAGGTATCTTCCAGAGTGGTGTATCCTCCAGTTTGACTATGTGTAGATGAGATACCTAGATCTCCTTTTCAGGATGCTCCCAACATCATGGCACGGCGGGATCTCGATGGCATCTTCCAGGATTGGGAGAATCATTTGGTGCCACAGGAGTATCAGATGACGCCGACATCCCAAAGTTGGCACTGTGTAGAGGGTTACGTGACATGGTTCTTTAACGTGTCACATCCTCTCATGACACCGAATGATCCTGGACGTCCATCTAGACCAGCTCATGAGGAACTATTGGAGAAACAGCAGGTCGAGGATGATCACGCCATTGATCTATTTTCGATCTGTCAGCGGATCCGCCTACTTGGGCAGGAGGCGTTGGATATAAGGATTATCGAGGCGAGCGGTCCTGAGGCGGTTGCCATAGTTTAGAGGATGGTCACAGAGGCATCTGGTGCATCGCAGTCAACAGGCAGAGGACGCTGGGAGTTAGGATTAGGCATATGCAGTAGCCTATGTTATGTTTTGTTTTTTGTTGTAATATTTTGACCGTACTTACTTTCCAAATAATTTATGTATAAAATTATGTATGAACATCTATTTTAAATGTATTGTTATGTTCGTTTTATATTTTCGATAAAATCATAAAAAATTTGTCTGATTGTGAAATAGTGGAATTGATGTAGTTTTAAACAAAAATGACACAAACAGAGGAAGTTTCGCAAGTGCACTTGTGAAGGATATTTTCGGGTTTTCAGTGGTGAAAGTTACCATTACTAGGTGTAAAGAGAAATTCATTTTCTTTATTATGTTTGCTTTTCCAAAATAATAAAGTCCCTAGAATAGTTCGTCTGTTTAATGAAATATTAAGTGTGACTTAATCATGAGATCCCATTAAATATAAGGACATTATTCTTAAAGTATCTGTAGTCGAGTTTTATTGCAAAGTGAGATAACATTAAAGCATTGAGATTATTATGAAGATAGACTGATGATCACATCTCATGGATCATGGATAAGGAGTTATCAAGTCTTGACATAGATATAAATATTAGGAGTAATATTTATATTAGATTGACCCGCTATGAGAATACTACATAGAATGTTATGCAAGGTGTCATAAGTTATTCTCATGGTGGTAATGGTGTATACCACCCTTCGACCTGAAACCACTATGGACCCTAGATGTAGAGTTAAGTACTTTATTGTTGATCAAACGTTATACGTAATTGGATGACCATAAAGACAGTTGATGGATACTTCACAAAGCATGCTAGGGGATATGAGTGACCTAGATAGAATTTGCCCATCCTGCATAACAGGATAAATGTCTAAGGGTCCAATATTAAACTGGACAAGGGTGACACGGCCTATGTCTTGCGTTCAATATAGACATAAGGACAAAAGGGTAATTGTACACACAAATATTATCACTGAATGGTTTTGTCAAATCACATGACATTTTCTTGACTTGGTAGCAGTGATGTGTTGCTAGATATCACTCACTGCTTATTATGTTAAATGTGTGATTTAATATAATTGTCAACGTCGCGAAAACCTGCAGGATCACACACATAAGGACAGGTTGATGAGAGATAGAGTAAATAAGGAACAATGTAAGGTACGGTACGCTTAAGTGAATTGTAAAACACCGTAAAGTACGATACACTTAAGTGAAATACGGAATGTGGTAAGGTACCACGCGCTTAAGTGATATGCAATATATCATAAGGTATGATACCCGTACGCTTAATTGGGCTTTCAACTTGCAGCCTTAATTGGGCTTTTAGCTTACAGCCCACACGAGTGGTTATATAAATAGAGTCCTTGTGCTGAAGCATTTCATTTGATAAAATTTCGGTATCGAAACTCTAGTTGTATTTTGTCTCACTCGCTCACTCAGTTTTCGTTCGTAAGCAGCTAGCATGTGACCGAAAGCGATCTGTTCGTGTGAACTGAGTAGAGGTGTTATTCTTCATCAACGCTCGTGATCACAGCATCGAAAGTCTAAATCGTCACAAGAGGTAATATATTCTATCACTGACCATGCTCATTCGTAAGGATCGCTAAAGGAAAATTTTAATTTCCGCTACGTTTTGGATCACAATTTTCCTTCAAACACATGGAGAAGCAGCAGAAAGAATAATTTGCTCTATTTTTGATGATGCATGTTTTTTACTCAAATGTATGAAATTTTGGTATCAGAACAACAAATTTAATATCCTTATGTAGTTTCAAATGTCAAATGTTTTGGGGTCAGAACAATAAAATTCAATATCCCTATTTATGTTTAATACTTACTTATATATGATTACTAGATTTCATTAAAAACATGAGTAAGTACACATTAGCATAAAATTTTCTAAACCGACTGACAAATGCGTCGGCACAATTATACACCACAAACAGAAAATTAGATATCAAAAGCTCCCTCAATGTCATTTGAAAAGAGGAAGTATGATTTGTGTGAATTGCAAGGGGTTGCAATTGTTGCCAATCACAACCATTGAAAAATTATCATCATATCTTTGTCTATCTAACCTACAACAAAATACAAGCCGTCCTATTATTCAATAATTAATATTGGTGTGGGGAAGATCAATGCTAGCTTACTACTTACAACACTCAGAGGGCTGCATGTAACAGGAATAGGAAGCTAAGAAGTAGGTTCGAATGCAGCTTGTTGATGCCAAACGCCATTGAGATTAGACTGCCATAATCGGACCATTCCATCGTCACCTGTAGTAGCCAACGTCATTCCACTCATATCCCACTCCA